TCTCTCTCTCTCTCTCTCTCGATCCCAGCGAGTGACAGGAACGTTGCAGTCACAGCGACTCCACAGACTTTCAATTCCTTTACAGATGAAAAATAAACAAACCTGCATCACCACGTGAGGGGGAGGGGCTCGAGAAAAACGTTTAAAGAAAACAAACAAAAAAAGCTGTAACAATGAAACTCGAATACCGTGGCGTGAATATGAAAAAAGATGCTGTTTGAAACAGTTGTTGTATTCTAGATTCCATAAAGAACGTGTGTTGTTCGAACAGTCAGCTGTTGATCAGGGGAAACCATTCAAGTGGTTCGAGTGCAAGAAATCTGCTCCTTTATTAGGAAATTGTTAATTTTATTTTCTTTGGTGTGTCTTTTTTGGGATCAAGGTGAAAGAGGAAAAGGTGAACTATGCTGATGTTAAATCTGAGCGACACAGGAAGCGTTTCATCTATAAATCAGAGTCTGGAGGATTTTTATGCATTTTTTCTTCCTCTTTTTGTTTTTTGTTTCTTTTGTAAGTGAATCCTCAGTTTTCCAAGTCAAATCCCTGCATTGAAAACTTATTTTTATGTTGTAGTGTTCTGGAGTTCAATTCTTTCCTCACTCTGGCTTCCTTCTATTTTGTTTCGTCTGTCGACGCGGACTTTGTAGCACAGTCACTGGCCTCAGGTACTGTGGAAGAATGAGAGGAACCGATATTAAGCTCTCTTATTATTATTGCACTTTTTGGAGGAAAAAACAATTACAGTGGAAAACTTTAGGTTTGAAATTAACAATTAAGGAAACAACTTAATAAAGACTGATCTAGGAAGAGTCCTTCATGATGCTTATATTTGAGTTATGGCTGAAAAATGTTGTCGATTCTCATGAAAGAAAAGGACATGTCTTTTTTTGATTTTTATTTCTTACATCAAAAATAATTTACCAGGAAATCATAGTTTGTGCCTTTCTAAGTAAAATGTTTAAAGCTCAAGTGAGTGTCCCGCAATGACATTTTATCTAATCTGACCCTAATGCTCACTGGATTACTCTGTGTGTGTGTGTGTGTGTGTGTGTGTGTGTGTGTGTGTGTGTGTGTGTGTGAGAAACTAATATTTCTCTTGAGAGAGATTGATGTGATCTGTTCAGCACTTCATTGTTTGAGGATGATTTGAGCGAACAGCCCGTTCTCAGTGGACCTGGTCATCTATGTATTTCTCTGTGTGTGTGTGTGTGTGTGTGTGTGTGTGTGTGTGTGTGTGTGTGTGTGTGTGTGAGTCAACAGCAGATCGTGAGCATTAAGGAAAGAAATTGCTCTATTATTTTAGCGACTGCAACAAATCAGTTGGTTCACCTTTGTCCCTCTCAATTGTTGGAGTGAACATGGACAAACTCAGCTAGCACACATGGGACTGGCTGCTTGTTCGTGCACTGCATAAGACCAGCCAAGTGAATAGACCCTTTCACATCTACAGATAAAGGGATGAAGGGTAATAAAATGTGTATACTTTATTCGCTTGTACACTTGGGTTGTCCTTTCATGCTATTCATCCGAGCCATCTCCGAGGGAATCAGCAACATGCTGACACTCACGACAAATTACCAAGCTAAAGGCCTGAATACAATAGAAAAACTTTACTCCAAGTGCTGCTTGATCGGTTTGTTTGGTGCGCAACCATTATTTAATAATAACAGACATCCTATTGGCCACTCACAGAAGCTATGCAATGATTTGAGTCACTGCGACAGAGCACGCGGTGACTCAAATCAGTAATGTATTTGTATTGGTAACCCCTAACCCCAATACAAATACATACATTGTTTTTCAGAATTCTGTGGGGAAAAAGTCATAAACCAAAAACATGTTTTTGTAGTCCTGATCGCTTTCCAAGCAAAAGCTCAGAATTATGAGGTTAAAGACAGAATAATGAGGAAAAAAGTAAAGTTGCGTACACTAGAGATGGGCGCGTTACTGTAATCCAATTACTTTTTTCAAGTAACAAGTAATATAAGGATTACTGTTGCAAAAAAGTAATTAGACTACTGTTACGTTCCCATAAGCATGCTGCTTTACTGCATTACTAAACCGTGATTTTGTTTGTGAGAGTGTCTCATGACAATGACGTAAGCGCATTTGACATCCGTGGCAGCAAAAGGCATGTGTAGATCAACAATAGATAATATAAAGTGCAGGAGAGAGTACGATCATGTAGCGTTAAAAGTGTGGAAGTACTTAAATAAGTTTGATTCCGTAAAAAGTGACAAAAACATTAGCGTCCGCTGTACACTGTAAGAAAACTTATTTCTACAGCTATAGATTTAAGAGCGACAGGACTGTGCTGCTGAATCTTTGATTTTATTTATTTTTGCTGTGTTTTACTTGTATCTATTTGAAAGAATGAGTGTAAACTATTTAAGTAAGATCATTGAAAAAGCAGTTTCTCAACAGCTCAATTACTTCTTAAAACAGAATAACTGCTACGATGCCTTCCAGTCAGGTTTTAGACAGAACCACAGCACTGAAACCGCTCT